TTTTAATCTTTGCCATGGTACACCTTATAGCCCAGTTCTCAACCTTTACCACATATTCATATATTGCAATCATGTAGGTAGGTCTTAAAAATCCAATAACCAGCCTTCATTCCAGGCCAATTACATCAGAATTTCTGGGAGTGGAATCCCAGAGATGTATGGTTCTTTAAAGATTCCCAGGAATGAAAACAAATTTGAGAACCAACATAACTTTGGAAACATTAATCTACAAGTTCTAGACTATTCTTCAAACTAAAAAGCAAAAACAAAAACAACAGCTAAAGATAGGACATCCAACTTCTATCAGCTTTATTCCACTGGACATTGACACAACATCCCATCTCCACCTTACTCCCATACTGATTCATTCTTTTACAGACAATGTTTTCTGCATATTCCTTCAAAACTAGGTCCCAGCATACTATTTATTGTCTGAATAATTTTATCCCCCTTTAATTTTTTAAGTCATAGAAAAAATGGGTTTTGACAGATTTAGGAATCATCATGAATATACCAGACAACTTATCAAGCTGGTACACATGAATCAGTAAACAAAGAACTATTGTAAAATAAATTAAGAAGCATAAAACATCGCATAAAACATTGTTGCACAATTTAGACTAATTGGTTATCAATGTTTTCTGACGCTTTAAATTTTTGCAAACACTGCTTTAGGAATACCCAGGAATGCAGAAATGAAAACCACTGCCACTGACCACCACAAAAACAAGCTGGAGATTCCATTAAGGGCTGATGGTCTTGTAAGACTAGATAAGTAGCAATTAAAATTACTTTATAGAATGTTTGGCCAATAGGATACACAAAGTTTAGTTAATACAGTGAAAGGGACAGAACCTCAAAAGATCCTTTGCCAGTTCAGCTCTGACGCTGCCCCCAGAACTGAAAGGCCTCTTGTTCCCTTAAAGGCCAGCTGCCAAGACAACACTGAGGATGGATGGACTCAACAAATTCAAGTAGATGGAAAATACCCTCTGCCTCTAGTTTTCAGCTAGAGTCACTCTTGATAAACACATTGGCTATTCTTAGTACAAGTGAAAAGTACAATTTTGACACAGATATCTTACACTTCAGAGGAACACCCTAGGACCGACTGATTCACAAACACTAATATCACAACATTTCCCAAGTGTCATACCAACCCAGAAAACTCAACTATCACTAATGTCAACTCTACTCAACTTAATCAAGAATAGACAGTAAAGTTACATAAATCTTCTTTTTTAATTTGTCTCATTTTTAGTGATTTTTTTTTCATTTTTAGTGAATTTTTAACTAACTCAAAAGAAAACTAAATAATTTAAATATAATTCCAAATAAAAAATCAGGTCATTTCTTTAGTTATAATACTATACCTGCAATATAAATCTCACATTATTTAGATTCAACCTAACATGCCACTTTTTAAAAAGAATCTGATGCCAAATGAGTGAAAAGTTACAGGACCTAACATCAGAACCTGGATTGTCACATTCCAGTTTTCATCTTCACATAGAAGGCATTTTATGAGGCCTCTTCCTAACATGCCCTAACCCTAGTTCCAATTATGCCTCCTTCCCCAATATTCCCCTAACAATGGTCTCCTAACTATAATAAAGCACTACAATTGTTTCATATATCTGTACATTTACACAAACTACACAATGAATTTCCTTGCAGTAGGATCGAGTTGTCCTAACCATTTTTAGATCCACAGGACTATCACAATAACTGGCATAGAAAAAAAGCAACAAATTAATGTACTTAGTCCTTTGGGACACAAAATAGGAATGAACTCAATTTCCACCCTCAAGAGAAGAGTTAGCCTTGCAAATAAACAATTATTATACAAGATGTTTGCTTTAATGCTATGTGGAACACTGTAATCCATGAAATGCAACAAGGAATTACAGGAAAAGGGCTTGCCAAGATTCTCCAGAAAAATGAGGAAAGGTTTTTATAGAACTGACTGCTCAAATGATTGTTTGATAAATGAATAAATTTTGAAGAGTGGCATTATCTAAAGTCAGGGTAGTCATAAAATTCCCTTACTTAAAAAAGATACAGCATATATGAGAAAACACGCATTTCAGTGAAGAGTATACCTGAAAATGCCAATCATATCCTCAATAAGGCTTCAAAACAGTTCTCCTTTTTAAAGAATTTTAAGCAATACAACAATTACATCTAACTGGAAGTCTGTTTTTAGGTAAGTTTAATATAGAAAGAGTTGAAAAATCTAAATGAAAACAAGAGTGTGATTTAACAACAAATGGAGTAAAAATGCTGGTAGATAATATAACCCAGATTATAATGAAGACCAAGACAATAGTGACTGACTAAAATTAGTATGAGGGTGATTCCTGATAATGTTCCTTACTTCAGTGAGCCTGGGTTATAAGCAAAAACAACACAGTTCTTATCTTAGGAAAAAAATAGTTTCTTTAGTTCAGTTCCCAGAAACCAGTAGTATTTTCTCATCTAAATTCTTCACTAAAGTTCAAATTCACCACTCCTTGGTATGTTCTGCTACAAATGCATAGTTTATGAAGAGTTTGTATTTAGAGATGCAGCTTAATGCAAACATAAATCTCAGGGTTCCGAGTTATCAGAAAAATACAACTTGAGTTACACTTAAGATCAAACTCTAATCTAGGAAACAGGTGCCTAAAGAAAGGGACAGATGCCTCAGATTTGTGTTAAGCATTATTTTTCATGTGAGGGCCTTTTAACAGATTGCATAAAACTCTTTATGTCTAACCACAATGCAGTAACATTCTCTAGTTCATCTTCTGCTTCTTTTAAAATAATTTGATGGTGTTCTGTACATGTACCAACTCGCCACAAGGAACGTAATTATGTACTGCAGTCATATACTAATAAAGAACAAAAACTGGAAAAACATAAAATAATTTCAGACCAAGTGAGTTTAAAGAAAACTACAATGAAAATGACAGAAAACAACATGTCTCTCTATAAGAGACTGGTTACAACTGTTCTAGTATATTAAACAGCAATGAAACAGAATGAAGGACGCTTTCCATATCTAAAATGAATGAGGTGAAAAACAATAAGGTGCAGAATAGTTTATGTAGTGTGCTATATTTTGTGATCAAAATAGGAACAATAAGAATGTACATCTTGGGCCGGGATTTAGCTCAGTGGTTTTGCCTCCTGCTACGCAAGTGCAAGGACCCGAGTTCGATCCCTGGTACCAAAAAAAAAAAAAAGAATATACATCTTTATTTCTTTGTATATATATAAAGAAACTCTAGAAGGGTATACAATAAACTAACTCCAGAAGTTATCTTGAAAGAATGAGCATCAAGGGAGAGAGGGAAATTTTTCACTGTATATTTTCTGTATATTTTTAAAATATCACTTATGTTAATATATTTATATTTTCAACTATTTGGGAAAATAGGCTATAATTGTAATAACTATGATTCTGTTACCTAGTAATAATTTTCTTACAATATTTTTCTTTCTCTTCTGGTCTTAATTTCTCAAAAATGCCAGTTCTCAAGAAAAAAATTACCTAACACAAAAAAATTCATTCCCTCCTCCAATATTCATCTAAATATATAAAAGGGCCAGGAATGTAGTTCAGTGTAAAGGCCCTGGGTTCAAATCTCAGTACTACAAAGAAAACAAGAAAGGATAGAAAAGAAGAAAACCCGCAAATACTTCTCTGATTTAAAAAAAACAAAGTAAGTCCTCACTGTCTACAGAACAGGTTCAGTAATCTGTCCAGTTGACACCTCCTCTCTCCCTACAGAGGGCTTCTCAAATCGCCCAGACACAACAAACATCCCCAGGACTTTCCATGGGACACACCTGTGCCTAATGTCCCTCCTCTGCTCCCAGCTTGGGTACAGCCTAACATTTCCACAGTTCATTTGTGCCTACAGACCTGCCTGCCTCTACTAAAATATGAGATCATTAGAAGACCTCCTAGTCATCATATTTATAACTGTTGTGGATAATACTTATTTCTTATTAATGATAACAATGAGAAACACAAAATCTCGGTACCACCCAGGGTATGGGGACAGCTGCACTACCTCCTTTAATCCTAGAAACACCCTGTAGCCATTGTACAGATAAGGACACTGAGGCTCAGACTACTTATGCTTACTAAAGATAGTAAGGAGCAGAATGAGGCTTCAAACCCAGCATCTCTAAAGCACAGACTCAACCACCTGGCTTAGAACTGAGGTACAGTTATTATCATCACCTTTCTGACAAAATAGATTCTATTTTACAAAGAGCTTTCAAATTATAGAAGCCACTAGAAAGGAAAAGTAAAAAAAAAAAAACTTTTAAGTTTCCTTAAAACTGTCCTTTATATAATCTGACATTTTTTATTCGTTCTTCTTATACACAAGATTGCTAGAGAATGAAGGGGCTTTGCATTTGCTCTCCCTGGGAAGATTAAGGCTTTGGGTGTGGCTCCCTTGTCCCATTCTCCCCACTTAACACCTACCTGTGCCCCCTTTTGTCACCTGTGGTCTCAGAAACAGAGATGAGAATCTCTTGGATCTTTAAAGACTGTGTCTTCATGTGTTCATTTAAACATTTCCAAAAACTCCTCCTAGGAGTCTGAAGCTCACCCTCAGTGAGCTTACAGCACAACAGGGAGACAGAGAGCAAAGGGGCCTCCAAGCCACTCTGCTCCTCTCAGTGTTGGAAATTATGTCACAAAAACAATAATAAGCAATACAGATGCTTACAGATTTGGATAAATAAGCACAAAGACAAAAGTACTAAAATTTAGCACAATTCTTCAGAGATGACTGTTGTGGGAGGTTTTTTCTGGTGTTTTGATTTGGTTTGGGTGTTTTGTTTTGTTTTGTCTTTTGTTTTTTGAAAAGGAGAGAAAAAAATTACCATCTCATTTCAGTCCGTATAAAATAACATCATCGTCACTGTCTTGAGACAACTTAAAAGCACAGTAACTCAATGATGGCAAAGTTTAGCCCAAGTCCCACAAGCAGTTATACCTGAATGGAAGATAAGGGGGATTTGAGCCAGATAGGAGCGCTCTGTAGGCTTCTTCTGGTGTCTTCTTTAAATAGATTACCTAGGACAGAGAAATAGTAACATTTAGAACACCACCAAAGAATGACACAGCACTAATTTTATTACTCAACAAATTTGCATTTCATTTCTTGGAGTGAAAACTATCATGGAGATAATTGTTGTTACTGTTTTTATAGATTAATTTTATTGGTACATTTTAGGTATACAATATAATGACATTCACCATTGAAAATTTGTATCTTTACATAATCTCTCTTGGTTCTTATTTTTTCCCCCTTCCCCTGCCCTCCCTTCAACCCCTCCATCATCCCTCCCTATTTACAAAGACTTTGTTTCCATTTCTTCATTTTCTCATACTAATTCCATTCCCTTCTTTCCTTTCCCCTACCCCTCCCACTTCCCCTTCCCCTTTGCCCCTTTTTGTTGTTGTTGTTGTTGTTGCTGCTGCTGCTGTTGTTGTTGCTGCTGTCCAGTACTGGGTTGAACCCACCCAGGGCCTTCGCACTGAGCTACATACCTAGTCCTTTTGTAGTCCCTATTTTAAGGCAGGGTCTTACTCTGTTGCTAAGTTGCCCAGGCTGGACTCAAACTCAATATCCTCTTTTTCAGCTTGAAACCAATCACCAGCTTTTGGCTTAAAGATGGGTGAGGGCTTCAAGGCAGATCCTTGAAGAAGCCAACAAGGGTTATTCCTAGGGCACACTGCCCAGACACAATGCCAGGGACAGTCAGACCTCCGCCACTGCACTGTGCGTTCACCGAAGACCAACACAAGCCTCCTTGACCTCTACAGGTCTCCCATGAGTCACCCAGTGCTGAGGAGCTCTGACGGACATTCACAGTGAGCAGAACACCTGCCGGATGGCTGCTGAGGAAAGCCAACTACTCTCTAAACCTCACTAAAATCACATTGAGATGGGTAAAAAGGAATGATGCAGGAACACTGCCTTTACAGCAAAAGGCAAGGGTCCTGGAGGGGAGAAAGAACTTGTGAGCTGGATGGAGAGGAGCTCAGTGTGGCTAGGAGGGCGAAAGAGGGTGGGAGGAAGGAGGGGGAAAGGAGCTAAAGCATGGCCAGACTGAAGCGCAGTATACACCATGGGGAGAGTCTGACTTTCTTCCAAATACAATTTAATATTTTAATTCTGAACTGAGGGCATTGGTCCTTTTCATCTATAGTTTGAGTTTAATTTAATTCCTAGAATCTTCTCTACCTAGAATTAATGGCATTGTTGCCTCAATATATCCCCACATCAAAACCCTAAGCATTTTAATTACAAGAATGACAGAGACCTGTTGTTTTTTTTTTAAGTAGGCTTTCCTCTCTACATACAAAGCCTCTTTGAGTTTTAAGCTATGCTACTCTACTAGCAATATAGCTCATGTATTTATTAACACTTGGAGAACTAGAAAGGACTCCATTTTGAATTCTCAAAAGAAATAAAACTAGATAAAAAGCACATCTAGCTTTAATAACAGGGCCTCATGATCATTTGGCAAATGAAGTGAAGGTCAGATAAAGCACACACCAACCGAAGTGAACTGAATATGAAACAAAAACCACACAGCAAATGAACTTTAAAGGTAGTGATCAGCAGGCCTCACTGTGATCAGCACACCTATCATTCCAGCACTCTAGGAGGCAGAAGCAGTAGAGGCAGTAGAATCACAAGTTCAAGCCCAGCCTGCAGAACGATGACTTACCAATACCCTCTCTCGAAATAAAAACTAAAAATAAAAAGGAGTAAGGATGTAGCTCAACATGAAGGCTCAAGGCTCAATACCTAGTACTGCAAAACAGAAATCCAACCTCCCCCGCTAAAATCAAGGCAATCCAGTCACAAGGCACAAGTCATCTAGAGAGAATCAGGACTTGAGTTGCAGTTCAAATAATTACAAAATCCTTTTAAATCAATCCGAGCTTTGAAGACCATTTGCAGTAATCAATATTACAACATAATTTTACTGCAACCCAATGGGTAGATTATATAACGGAGCTTCTTATGAGGAAGCACTTTCTCAACCCTAAACACATTGCAGTACTTGAAAGTTAACCAGGACTGCTAACAGGGAAAACAGCTTGGAGAAAGCTTCTGTGTTTGGATTAGATAATTAAAGCTTACACAAACAGCCTTTGAAAAGCAAAAAATGCAATTCTCTCCTTAGGAGCAATTACGTTAATTCTCTTTAATTTTGTGGCAGTGTTTCTGCAAGAGGGAGTCGCCAGCCCAACGAAATAGCTCTTCAGACTGGAGACCCCACAGGGCTCCGCTCCTCATCTTACCTGCATGACTTAGCACACATGACCCATGCTCTCAACACTGTAAGAGGAGAGCCTTTGTTTTTATTTTTATCCCGGTGCTAAATTATTAATATGTGCAAAGTGAAACCCAACAGAGGCCATCTAAATTCCAAGCAGATTCCCCGGGGCATCTGTTACAGGTTGACCTTTTACAACCTGAAGGCAGGGACTTAGGGAGAGTGGGGCAAAGTTCTGATACACGTGCATGCCGTGTCCTTAACATACAAAGTGCCATCTTTCTAGCAAGTATTCCTATGCCAGATCGTCTTATGAGAGACAGACAGACAGACAGACAGACAGTAGGTCTGACTGAATCGCAGAAGGAAAGTAACATTTACTAAGACTTGCTGTCAAGGAATCTAAAACTCAGAAATATAAGGAACTTGACAAATTCACATTGCTGTTCTGTTTGTTGTTGTTGTTGTTGTCGTTTGTATTTTTTTTTTTTTTTGTACTAGGGATCAAACTCGGGTCCTTGCACTTGCAAAGCAGGCACGGGAACTAAATCCCTGGCCCCGCTGTTCCGTGATGGTGAAGAATTTGAATACAGATCTGACTCCAAAAATCTGGAGAGAAAAAGGACTCTTTTAAATTCCTAAATGCCATTATACTTTATTTTAAAAATTAGGCAATTTCAAATTATTAACAGTATTGGTGTATGAGGAATTAGGCTGGTGAAGGATTGAAAGGAAAAAGGGAAGCTTCCTGCTCTGTCCTATATTCCGTGCTGTCGTTTTGTGTAGACGTGTACAAATGTGCTTCTTAGACATGAAGTAACTAAATCAATTACAAAATGCTAAAAGCATACTTTCTTCTTACAATAAAATCTGTAATCATCCAAACTTTGTTACCAGACTTTTTATTTTTTAGTACTAAGGATTGAACTCAGCACCTTCACATCTCAGCCCTTTTTCTGTTTTTTATTTTTGACATTGGTTCTTACTAAGTTGCTAGTTGCCCAGGTTGGCCTTGAACTTGCAATACTCCTGCTTTGGCCTCCTATTGCTAGATATCCTAATATTTCCAAAAATATTTTCTGGGAATAAAAAACTAATTTAATGGCATCTGATAAATACTCTGATTATTCTTTTTCTACTTCTGAAAGGAAAAAAATAAATTACTATCTACTCTCCTCACTGCCTATTATATTACATAAAGGAAAGGATTTTCCCAAATTTTGACTGATGTAACCTGAGAAAAGCCATTTGGATGTACATGGTGCTTGGTGTACCATGCCAATTGAGCGGTACATGGGTCATTTTTATACAATTGTCCTACCCTTGCCAGGAAGTCCTAGAAACCTCCTCTATAAAATAATATTTTCACATATACTTTCTTATTTTTAACTGAGTATGAGTCAACCAATTAAGGTGATTTTTTCCCTGCTTAATTGACTTTGACATCAGTACCAACTCTGTTTCTTAAACACATGATTCTGAAGAGCCAGAATTCTGACCCATATAAATTATCAGTAGATATGAGGTTCTTAACAACACAGAAAAACTTGAGTACAACCAGCCAGCAAGATTGTTTACTAACACGACAGTGTTGGCCAGACTTTAATCATACACCAACGTTCCCAGCTTCTGTCACACCTACCACCAGCAATTACCACTTCTAGGTAGTCACAGTCTTCTAGCTTAAATCAGTTTGATGTGAAATGTTTTACACTATTGCTGTAAGTGGAAAACCTGCCACTGAATCTACACATAAATTAATATTAAAATACATAACACTTTAAATTTAAAATGTATCAAGTACAAATTTGTACTAATTTTATAGAAAAATACCACACCAAAATGAGATTAAATAAAATTCTCAGAATTTATCTGCAAATAATGGTAAATCTTTTTTAACTGAATCCTACAGTTATTATATCCTGAAGGGGTACAAAAAATGCCTGTGTGTGTATGTGTGATCTTCAGAAGCATCTTCAAATTTACAATTATATTGCAGTACTTAGATAATTTAATCTCACGGATACATAAACTGTGATTCTTAAAACAACAAACGGCTTAATATAGGAGTCTAAACCAGACTATGAGTCATGAATTTGCTAATGGTCTTTCCCTGGGGACATTCAACTCCAACTTTACTACATTTTTAGCTTTGTTTTTAGGTGCTGTTGTTTCCTCAAAAAAAAAAAAAAAAAGTTTTAGTGCAAAGTACAACACAAGTACATACATACACACATCCGAAATATTTTAAAAAGAAACCTCTGCCCTTATGTTAATTATGTTTATATTTTGCAATGTGGAGAGTTAAAATACTCTTAAGGATTTAACTTGGCTTTCTGAGAGCGGATTCTTCAATTTGGACAGTTGATTTCCTGTTATTTGTTTAATGTTTTATTTGTTTAAAAAAGTGGAAACAGAGCCCCACGGAACACGCCGAATCAGCCCGCTGCAGAAAGGCAGGTCTGTGCATGCCCTACCGAGGTCCTGAGTCACGCGGAAGACACCGAATCACCCCGCTGCAGACAGGCAGCCACCTGACTCCACATTACAAAGGCGCAGAGGACACCAGACCACCAGACCAAGGTACTGATTCCCACTGTTCCCGGCCCAGAGGTAGGGGCTTCTGAGCCGTCGTCCCACTGCTCCTGGTCCAGAGGAAGGGGCTTCCC